CTGTCACAGCCTGCATAAATGCCAGAGCCCTCCTCCTGTGGTCCTTCTAGATCTGTCCCCAAACCACCTCCACCTTCCCTCACCTTTCTGACCTTACTGCCTACCTTTCTCCTCCATCCATATAGGCCCCACTGGTATCTTCTCCAACAGGCTCCTCCCTCAGGGCCTTTGCACTTGCTGGCCCTCTCTACCCAGAATGCTCTTCTCCCCAGATGTCACCTGGCTCACTTCCTCATTTCTTCCAGGCCTCTGCTCAAATGTCACCTCTTCTGAGAAGCCTTCTTGGGCTTTTAAAATGGATCTGTCGCTCTGGGTTCTGTTGTCCTGCGTTCGTTTTCTTCAGGCCCCACCAAATGTGCCACTTTGCAGGCAGGCGTCCTCCCTTGCCTGGAAGCGAGGCTTTCGCTTTGCTAGCCGCTGAGTTCCAGGGCCTTGCCGTGTGCCTGGTGAGTTCTCAGTGGGAACCTGTTATGTGGACCGATGTGTGACCCCACCAGAGTCTCTGAGACAAGCTCCCCAGCACACGACCTGCCTTCTACCCTCCTCCTTGCCTCTGCTCAGGGTGTACACGCTTCCGACAACTCCTTCCCTCTCTTCTCTGGCTAGGGGAATTCCTCCCATTTCTAAGGCTGATTCTGCCCCACACAGCCTCCTCCAGGAAGCCTGCTGGCCAGTCCCCCAATAGCCTAAAGCCCCTTCCAGTTGACTTTTAGAATCAGAACCCTTTTTATGTCTCACTTCCCCAGGCACTGTGGTGCCTGCCCCCCACTTGGAGGCAGCTTGTGCATCCCCCTAAGAGATCACAAAAGGGAGGGAGGCAGGGAAGCAGGGGAGCCCAGCCCTGACACAGGAGACGGGGACAGGGACAGGATTAGCAGCAGCCTGCAGGCTCCCAAACCCAGCTGGGCCCAGCTATGGAGCTGGAAAATGTCAGGCTCAATGCCGGTCCCTCCGCCAACCTTTCCCTGTTGGGTGGACCCTTTCCTGAGCCACACCCCCCCACTCAACAGTCCGGGGGTCCTTGGGAAGGAGTGGGGACCCCTGGGGGATAAATGAGGAAAAGGAAAACCCTTCTGCCTGTCCTCCCCCTTCCCACCCTCCTCTTGCAGGGTGACAAGACATTTAATTATAGATAGTTGGTACTGCTCAGAATTCCAAATGTCCTAATCCCCTCCCCTCCTAGAACCAGTTTCCATGGAAAAAAATCACAGCAAAAAGCCAAGGAGGCGAAGGAGAGAACCACCACCCTGTGGGCTCCCTGCCTGGGGGCGGGGCACTAGGGATAAGAGACAGAAGAAAGGTGACAGAGGCCATGGGTTCTCCCCAGCAAGACCGGGAGCTGGGGATGAGACCAGGGCCCTGCAGCTTGGGGCTGCCTCTGCCTACCTTGTGGTGGGAGTTTAGATCCAGCATGCTCCCTTTCTGGTCACATCATCAGTTCTTCCCCCTCCAGGCCCAGCCCTTGGGGAACTAAATAACCTCTATACTATGCAGGTTCTCAGGCTGCTGGAGGTGCAGATGGTGTCCCCTGGCCCTGGCCCCCCAACTTGGATGGTAGGCCACTTGTACCGACAAACCCGGACAGCTGAGCCCCTTCACCGCGAAGATGCTGACATTCTAGGATGCAGCACAAACCCAGCAGCCTGAGAGTCTTAAGAATTCCGAGCAGCAAGATTCCCACAGCTCACACATTCAAAGAGCGAGCCATGCAGAGTGCCTGGCATGCCGGAAGCACTCGAGAAATGTTAGCCATGGCTGCCCCTAATCCCAAGAGGCCAAGGTTCTGTAAGTTGGTTCATCTCTGATTTGGAAAGACAAGCCATTCCCTATTCCTGGACAATAGTTGCTGAACGTGTCCAATGGATCTAAGGTTCCTGAGGCCCCCAGACTCCCCCTTCCAGGCAGGGATGGAGGACGTCCTGGAATGAAGAGCCACACGGATCACGTAGGCTGCAGTGGCCACAAGTGGACAAGATGCATCGTGAGGAGCAGGGGAGCTCAGATGGCCTCCACCTGGATCCACACCCCTCCGCACAGTGCAAACAGGTGTTCACAGAACAAACGAACCACGAGCTAGGCTGCGTTCCCTGGGCTTCGAGGGTCTCACAGCTGTTTACACAGAGCTCTCTGGTCAGCCACTGCTCTGTCTGGTCCTGTTTCCCTTGAGCACCCGGCAGGCTGGGTCAAATCCTTCTTACAGAGCCCCAGTGACACTGCCTTCTGACCTCTCACTGTACAGACAGGGAAACAGTCCCAGAGAGGACCGGGTCCAGGTCTTGAAGGAGGTCGCTGGGGCAACACCACGTGGGAATGCAGGTGGGAATAACCTGAGTGTGAGTGACTCCCCACAGCCCAGGATTGGGTCAGGGGTCCCCTCAGGCCCAGAGGCCTCTCCTCTCAGCCCTTGGGCTGGGCTCACATTGGTTTCTGCCCCATCAGCACCACGTGGCCACCTTTTCTCCCTTGTGATTCTGGCGCCTGCGCCATGCCACCTCCACCCACGGGTCAGGGAACGTGACTGGAACCCTCTCCTCCACTCACACAAGGGAACATTATATCCTCAAGGGAGGCCAGCAAGAGGGGGCGGCCAGCTGCTCCCCTTCCCCAGGAGCCAGAGGAAGGAGACAGCAGGAGGGAGTCAGGCTAGCAGATGGGAGAACCTCCAGGCTTTATGAGTGGGTGGGAAGTCAGACGATGGGGAAATCTCTTTGGAGCCTACTCCAGTCCATCAGGTTTCCCTGAGACCCAGCTGCAAGCCCTGTGCCTAGAAAGCTGGGGGAAGGGGCAGACGGGCCAACCGGCCTTTCCCCAGGCATGGAGAAACAGCTGGGCCAGTGGAGGCGGCTCCCCCTGCTTTCCTCCCCAAGGAGGAAGTGAGCCCACCACCCGCTCTTCGTATAGGAGCCTGTCAGGAACCATACGCCCCTTGTACAGAAGAGAAAAGGGTGGCAAAGAGGTGATTGGCACTAAGCCACACAAGGCCGGAGCTAAGAGTCAAGTCCTGCTCTGGTAATTACAGACAGAGGGAGCAGGGTAACTGGGGTAACCGGGCTTGGAGTGGGCAGAGGCCTGGGGACTGGAAGAAGCCTCATTTCCAGGCAGTTGGAGGCAGCATTTTAGGGCAGATATGTCCCCTGGGGGTGAGGTAGGGCTAAGCTTCTCCCTGAGGAGGGAGGGAGGGTCAGAGAAGACCAGATGGGAGACCGGGTCAGGAATTAGGTCTCTGCCTACAAAAAAGATGGTACCCCTTCCCTTCTCTAGGTCTCAGCCCTGTCTTAGGAGCACCCCCAAGTCTCTGTCCATTCTTTGGTTCACCCTGGCCTACCCTCTAGTTGAATCTTCGGGTCCCCCTACCCCTCAAATTCACTGCCTTAGAGTTGATTCCAACTCGTCGCAATCCTGTGAGAGTGTAAAACTGCCCCTGCGGGTTTCTGAGACCATAGAGCTTTACAGGAGTAGAGAGCCTCACCTTTCTCCTATGGACGAGCTGGTAGTTCTGAACTGGTGGCTTTGAGTTAGCAGCCCAGTGCATAACCCACTATGTTACCAACACTCCTCAGGCCCCCAGGGAGCCTATGGGAAAAGAAGTTGGGGAGGGGACCCCTGGCAGGAACTGCCTGCTCTCACTCTGCTCTACTTTTTACCCCATCTTTCAAGACAGAACAGATGCTAGAATTTGGGGGTACCCAAGCTGCCCTGACAGGGATCTCAGAAGGAAAGATAGATCAAAATTTTCCCTTCTTCCTATCCCGCCCACTGACTCCCTTTGCAGCCTCCTTGGGAGACAAGGACCAGGAAGAAATAGAGACAAGGAGTGAGAAACAGAGAGAGAGTTCGGAGGGGCCGTGAACGCGTTGGGAACACTGGGACCAGGAAGTGACCAAATTTGTCCGGGGTTTAGGGTTTCCAGGCTCCTCAGGCAGGCAGCGAGGGAAATCTCGGGCCACAATCCCTTCGGCCATCATTCCAGAACCCAGAGCCTAGAATCTAACGTCAAACCTAGGCTCCCAGGCACCTTTCTGAACCCACAGTCCAGACTCCAAGGGTGGCTGAAGGCAGAGCACACACAGCTGGGGGGGTGGGGGTCGGCAACAATGACACTGTGGACCAAAGTGCTGGCGGAGCAGGGGGAACACTTCAGGAAGGGGGCAGGGAGAAGCGTGTGCAGGCCAAGCTGTGAAAAACCACGGCTCCTTCCCTCACCCACAGAGGCAGACTTGCTAGAGGGGGGCAGGTTCACCCCAACTGCTCCACAGGCCCCTCAGCCTCTGCACAGAGCCCCATCTTGTCCCCAGCTTCCACTAGAAGAGGCTCTGTCAGGCCGCGGCCCCGAAAGGTTTGTGTCCCAACTGCAGCCTACAAACATTGCCCAGGTCTCTGCAGCACCAACTGGACAAAAACATAGACACCGTCATATCTTATGGGGAGAATGAGACGCAGGAAACCCAGGGCCACCTCAATGTCAAACAGCAAGTCAGAGACCCAGCTGGAGCACTGATGCCCTGTGGACCTTCCCAGTTCTCCAGACCCTCAATTGAACCCACCACAGGAAGGTCACATGAGGAAAAGCAAGCCCATGTCCACTGTGGGCCCCAGAGCATAATCATGCTATGGGCAGTCTGACCAAAAAACAAGTGTGCAAGGCTGGCAGGAGAACTGAGCCTCACGAGGCTGGATATCCCAAAAAGTCGGATAGGAATCTCTAAAACCAGCCCCTGAAAAATCATCTAGAGGAGGAAATAAGAATCCTTTGTAATTATCACCCATAACACCTGGAGTTAGACAGGAACTTCCAGTAGTGGCAACAGCAGAAGCCCGAAGTCTTGGGGGTCCTGAGCAGACAGGAGGCCCCGTGTCATTAACACTGAACACTGCCTGGGCTGCTCCCGGTCCAGATACACATCCTCATACTTGGGCACCTGCCCAATGAGTCCACTACAAGCCAGTGCCCATGAGCCTTCCTCGATCCCACTCCACTCTGCCCCACAAAGAGGACTCACCACTTGTGGCTTGCTGCAGCACTTGCTGGCTGGGGCAGGCTCCGGAGGAGGCCGGGCAGCCTCAGGGGGCTTGGCCTCTGCAGAGGGTGGTCCATGGGGAGCCAAGCAGGGCCCATCGGCAGGCCCTGGGGCAGGGACCTCGCTGGAATGGAGGTTCAGCATGTACTGCTTGGTGACGTCCTCAAGCGACGGGGCCTGCACTGTGGGGTGAGCTCGTGCAGGAAAGCCCACGGGCTCTGGCACCGCCACAGGGGGGCCAGCAGAAGTGGGTGGCTCAGGTACCACAATAGGCATGAAGGTGGCGGGCACACTGGCATGGCGAACATGCTTGGAGGAGGGCCGGCCCCGAGACAAGCTGCCCGTCTGGTCCAAGTTGCCCTCCTCTCTCCGCAGCTCCTGGTGACTGCTCCGGGCTGGGCGCTTCTTGGTGCCTCGGTGGATGATCCGTGAAGTCAGAACATCAGCCAGCTTAGGGTCAAGGTGGAAGCCACAGTGGCCCGTGGAGGGAGCATGGGGGGCCTCAGGCAGGGCCTTCTCAGACTGGGCTCGGCCCCTGGCAGGACTGGCTTCTTGGGGCTCTGTTCGCTGCTCTGCAAGGAGGGGCTCACTGCTGGATGGTGGCAGCCCAGGCTCCACCTCTCGGATGGGCTCCCCTCCAGGACCCTCAAATCCAGGCCCAGCCAGCTCTCCACGGCGGCTGGGGTCACTCAGAGATTTCTTCTTGGGGGCTTTGCCAGCTGTCCTGTCATCCACCGCACGCCCAAAGGGGACAGACTCCTGGGCAATGCTCTCAATAACGTCCTGGTACCCCTTGCTCTCTTCACTGCCCACAGACCAGTCACTGTGGCTGCTGGTCAGACCCTCATCCACAGCCAAGGCTGCTGGCAGTCCTGACTTGGGGCTCAGGGAGCCCAAGAGGTTGCTGTCCACAGAGAACCCAGAGGGCTCCTCAGAGGTGGCAGTTCGGTGGCGCTGCGGAATTGGGTCACTCAGAGACCTGTAAGCCTCGCCCACCTCTCCATTGTTCAGTTCAGTCCCACCGGGGCCTGAAGGGGGGCCTTTGCGGCGCCTGCGGAGGGTCCCTGGAGTGGGAGGAGCCTCAGGGGACACCAGGCCCCACCCACCCAGACTGTCCTCTGCCCCAGGGCCATGGTGGTTGGTCTGGGCAGAGGATGAGGAAAGGGGCCGCCACACACCTCCAGAGCCTAGGCTGCAAAAGGCTGAAACCTGAGGCTCAGGGTCCGTCCCAATGCCCTCATCTGTCAGGCTGGACTCGGGGGCCGAGAGCTCCTCCTGGGACCGCTGGCCCCTAGTCAGGTCCCCTGCCCAGGCTAGGGTCCCAGCAGGGACATCGCTTCCATCGTCCTGTTGGGCACCCATGCGTTGGATCTTCTCGAACACCTGCCGTGCTTCCTGTACATACTGGTCCTGGACAATGAGGGGCAGGGGCTCCTCTTGGGCGCCAGGGCCTGCCAGCAGGAGCTCAGAGGTGCTGAGCTTCAGGTGGCCAGCGCGGGGCAGGCGGCAGGACATGGGCTTCTCTGAGCAGGTAAATGACTTTGCCCTGCGCAGGGTGGCCGTCAAGTCCTTGAGCGAGGGGCGGGTACCAGGTGAGGCAGGGGCTGGGGCAGGCAGGGGCCCAGGCTGCCCCACTGGGCTGCCTGCTGCTGGCGAGTCCCTGCCACCCAGGGGGTCGCTCTCAGCGTCCCCGGGTCGCTGGCCAGCCTTGCGGATCCTTAGCTCTGAAAGGTCTGAGCGCAGGAAACTGAGCAGCGTCAGGGTCTCTGAGGCGATATCTGGGTTTGACAGGGACTTCCGCTGCCGGGTCTTGTCCAGCTCCAGGCCGCCGTCCCTCAAAGCCTTCGTGGTGCCCACGGGGCCCTTGGCACGAGTGCGAGTCTGGGGCCGCAGAAGGAGCCCTTCCCCAGCTCCAAAGCTGGGGGAACGGTACACTCCCCAGCCCCCAGAACCTCTGGTAGACCACAGGTCCTCATCCTTGAGGGTCTCCGTGCTTGAATAACGACTGCTGCCCCGGGAGCCGGTGGGGCTGGCCAGGTGGGCGGGAAAGCTTATCTTGGCCACTCGGAAAGCTCCCCCCACAGGGTCAGAGGTGGGCCGGAGCCCCTCCTGGGGGCCTGGGACGCAGGAGGGCGAGTCCGTACCCCACTCGCTGGATCCCTCCTCGCTATGGGATCTTGGAGAGGTGAGGGGCTCGGGGCTCCCGGCTGCCGGGGGAGGGTCTATGCTGCCCAGACTTAACCCATCACGGTCTGGCCCCGAGCGCGTGCTTCCAGTCCTTGGCCCTCGTCGCCCTCCCCAGCGGTGGCCGTCCTCACCGTCTCGGTCCTCGTCACTGCCTGAAGAGTGGCCGCCGAGGTAAGCTGGGCTCCGAGTTCGGCCCTGCGGGCCCTCCTCTTCCTCCTCGCTGGAGCTGGCTGCGCGGCTGAGGCTGACGGGGTCGGAGGCGGCGGCGGCGGCAGGGGAGGAGGAGGAGGAGGAGCGGGAGGCCCGGGCCCCGGCC